TATGGTGGGTGAAGAAGTGTTGTGAAACGTGCTAGAAGTGAATGTGATGGAGGGCCAGGAGGGATGTGGTGTAGTGTGACAGGGAGAACGGCGTGCTGCAGTGGTGGTCGTGGTGAGGGGGGGAAGAGGGGTGGGTGATGGTGCGAGGGGTGAGTGAGGGAGAAATTGAAAGGGGCAGCTTGCCTCGCCATCGGAGAGCATCGATGTGGTTGGGGTGCAGGGCGAGCACTTGTGAGAAGTCGTCGTATGCCTGCACACAGCACATGTTGTCAGGGCAGCACAGCACAGGGCAGCACGAATTGAGTAGAATGGATGGACCAGATAGGTTTCTCCTTCCGTGAAGCTATCTCGTCCGATTCACCGCTCCCTCTGCCACTCCTCCCTCATCACCAGACATTTACCCGATACTTCATACCTCTCACGTTCACTATCACACGCCGCACTCCCCCTCGCACACAAAAAGACACACACGCACGTGGCCCCCCACCCCACCTGCGGCATGAGGCCCATGTCGAAGTGCAGCGACCCCAGGCACTCCCACATGCGCACGTTGCCTGGGAACCTGCGCACGCCCTGGGGAGGGAACCAAGTGCACGGCGCACGCCGCACGGGATGCGATGCATACAATGGAAGTATGGGTCAGCCACTTGTTGCAGCAGAGCAGCAACTCTCATGCACGTAATCTACCCTCGCCTCGCCTCATCACACCCCTCCCCGCTATCTCCCTCGTTTTCCCAACTTCCCTGCTTCCCTTCCCTGCCTCCCTCTCCCCATCCTCTTCCCCGCTCTTTCCCTCTTCTCCCCCAACCCTTCCATTTCGCTTCCCCGATCACCTCGCGCAGGTCTCTCTCCGCCAGCGCGTATGACTGCATCAGGGTGCGCGCCCACCCCCGCCCCTGCAGCATGCGCTCCCGCACTGCCAACTCCCCCTTTCCCCCCGACGCCCCTGCGCTCTCCGCTGTTGAATCCGCGCTCCCCCTCCCCTCCCCCACGTGCGCCACGCGCGAGAACAGCTCCTCCGCCTGCGCCCATTCCCCCGCCTCCATCTGCGCCCACGGCGCCGCGGCGAGAAGCGGCCGGAAAGAGTGGGGAGGGGGGAGGAGGGGAGGAGAAGGTGCGGGAAGGGAAGAGTGAGAAAGGAGGAGATGAGCGACGCGAGCGGAAACGGCCGTTGCGACGGATAAGGAGGGCGCAGGGACAGAAGCGCGCCTGCCGCTCAAATTCCCGTCCCCCAAAATTATCCGCAGTGTTACGCAGCGCGCACCTGCCGCTCTGCTTCGTCCAAGGTGTCAAGATACTCCTTATAATCGCTCTCTACCGCTTCACTATCTCCGCCTTCATCGTCCCCCGCGCCGCCCTCCTTCCCCGGCATTCCCGCCTCGCGCGCATCGCACACGTGCGCTATCCCTGCGCTTGCGCCGGAATTTCCCGCCTCTCCGCCAGCTGCAGCCTCCCCCTGCTCCGCCACTCCGCACGTGCGCGGTAGAGCGGATGCATGAGACGGCAATTCGCTAGGCAGAAGCGCCAGGGACAGCAGCAGCATGAGCACAGGTAGGTGTCGCTGCATGATGCTAATTGCGATGTGATTCCTTAACAATTTGCGGCGACTGGCAGAATGTCGCACGGCGGTATCGCATGGTGGGGCCCTCTCGCGCCGAAATCTGGTGCAACAGCCGCGAGGTGTCAGTCAGAAGGTGAAGTCGAGACGGCGGACTCTGGGGAGTCGAGCTGTTGACTGGTACTAGTACTTGCATGGAATGATGTGTGCCATGGGGGGGACCTTGGGCTATGCCTTGCGATGCGAAGAGGATTTTTGGGGGAAAACGTAAGATGTGATTCTGGTTCACTCAACAACGGTTCTGGCTGGTGCTTTACGGTGCTAGTGGTTAGCCTAACGTACCGCTCACTACCTCGTAAACACTTATTGAACCGCACTGACTGATGTTCTGCGGACAAACGTGAGGTACAACCCCGTAAGTGTGGAATGTGAAGATGGACTTCCCAGGGAACTGCAAACCCGCTAAACTTTTCCGAACCGTGCTCAAACAGATTGGACCCTCCGTCACCCATCCGACATCCCTCCATGTTCCCACACCCACCATACAATCAGAGAATGACGAAGCACTTCGCCGTCACCACAATGCGCGACAAGCTTTCGCGAACCATGACGACACCGCTCAACTCAACTCGACCTCCGACTCCACCCACGGTTGGCGAAACCCAGTTTCCGAATACCACTGAGGGATGGCAACAACAGAAGTTACTCGTGAGCTCGCCAATTCGCCAGACCAAACCCTGGCTTCTCTTTGTGGCCTATGATGGGTTTCGCAGCTCCTCCATTGCTTCTGTCAGAACAAAACCAGACAGATTTCGAGTTCCCCCCCTACTCTTCTGCCAACAGCCGCCTCCCACGCGCTAGAGCGGCTCAATTCAGTAGCACGCTTCGGGAAACGGATCGCGGCGGTTGAGTTAGCGGAAGTTTTGTAGGCCACGTCATTAGACCTTCGATTTTCGTGTTTCCACCCGGGTTTTTTGTCTGGCCGTTGAAACAGCATAAGGTGTCCCAAATTGAGTACAGAGGATAGTGTTTTCGTTGCACACTATGCGGTCCAATCAAACGTTGGGGTTAATTTGGCGGTCCAATCAGACGTTGGGGTTATTTTTGCGGTCCAATCATGTTGATGTCGGCGAATCGTTATGATCCACCATAGTCCACGGTGTCACGATTGGGACCACCATCAGAGCCAGCAAGGCGATTTCCAACCGTTGGCTGTGTTCACCGAGTAGCTCATCCCAACGATCCGCAATGAGACATCCCACGCATCTTCAGGTTCACTTCGTATTCCGGCTCTTCTTCTCGAGATTTCTGTTAGTTTCCGCAGCATTGTAAGCATTTTGCCAGTCGAGCTTGGCTTCCGATCGGTCGACCAGTTTCGGACCGTCACCATTACCATCGTCTCACGTTGACACCGTTCAGCCAGGCCTGGATGCGATGGTCGGATCGCGGAGCGTCATAACCTCGACCGTGGGAGTTTCGAAACCGTGATCCCTAACCGTCGACACGGTGGGTTGGTTGCTGTACCTGACCGTGGGAGCGACATCGATCTCCCCGACTTGTGACGGTGAAGGTTAAATGTATCACCTTCCACCAACACTCACCACAGAGCCTTCCCCTTGGTTAAGGTTTGGTACAGGTTAGGTACAGGTTCGGTAAAGGTTCCCAGGAGGTGTTGGGTTGGTACTGGCTCTGTGGTGGGGCAGCACATGTTTCATTCACGCTTGTTAAGTCTTCATTTCCATAGCATGCTTTCTTCACTTCCATCTACTAACTTTGTTTTTGCTTATACTTGCAGGTTTTAATGGAGGCTGCTAGGCGTTTTTCCGAAGAGTTCATAGGAGCAACGACCTTCGGGGCTCTCCATGCTTCATGACTGACAACAGAGGAGCAGCTCCACGAGAAGGTTGAACGTATCAACCTCCCCCCCATACTCCTGAGCCACCACCCTGGTTAAGGTTAGGTACAGGTTGAGGTTGGTAAAGGTCCCCCTGAAGGTTTTTCGGTTGGTATTTGGCTCTGTTTTCTCTACGTTTCTTTTCGTTTTGCATGCTTTGCTGCCCGACCTTTACTAATTCTGATTTATTTCCATATTTGCAGGTTTTATCTGAGGGTTAACTTCGTTCTTCGGATGACTTCAGAGAGAGAACATCCTTTTCGGCCTTCCATGCTTCATGCCGGACAACAGAGGAGCAGCTCCACGAATGAAGGTTGAACGTATCAAACCCCCCTTTACACTCAGAGCCACCCCCCCTGGTTGGGGTTACAGGTCGAGGTTTTGGTTAAGGTTCCCCTGAAGGTTTTTTTTGTTGGTATTTGGCTCGGTATTTTCACGCTTTTCGTTTTGCATGCTTTCTTGCCCGACCTTTACTAATTCTTGTTTATTTCCTTACTTGCAGGTTCTATCTTGGGTTCTACTGCGCTCTTCAAAGGACTTCAGAGGAGCAACATCCTTTGGTGGCCTTCCATCCTTCATGGCGGCCAACAGAGGAGCAGCTCCACGAGTGAAGGTTGAAAGTATCAACCCACCCTTCACACTCCTCAGAGCCACCCCCCTTAATTCAGGTTGAGGTATGGTAAAGGTTCAGGTTTGGTTAAGGTTGAGGTGGTAAAGGTCCCCTTCAGGTTTTTTGGTTGGTATTGGCTCTGTAGGCAGCACACACTTGCACCGCACTTGCAGCACCGTTCGTTTCTGCATGATCACTTTAATGATGTTCACTAACCTAGTTCCCTTGATCTCCTTGCAGGTTCTATATAAGGCCTTTTGTGCCACGCTCCACATGGTCTCAGAGGAGCATCACATTGCCAAGCTCCAAGGCGGGGTGAACGTACCTAACAACATCACCTGGCAGGTGCCTCCTCTCTCTCCACTGACAGTAAGTCTCGTTTCAGTCCTCTTCGTTTTAACTGCTTGCTGCATGTTGCTACGTTTTCCTTCATTGACTTGCCTTTCTAACTCGGATCTCCTGGCTTCACTTGGCAGGTTGTTTCACCAAGGGATTTCAGCACGCCCAAGAATCAAGATCCATGGGAGCGCCATGGCCTGCTGAGGCGCCTCAAGACTCAACAACCATGGCAAGATAAGTTGTCAATCCCAGCCTCGTCCCTTGCTTTCTCGCTCCAACGCCCCTTCACTGCTAACTCCAAGCTTGTTGATTCTTTGATTTATTTTTCAGATTGTGATACAACTCGCAATTGACTGACTTGTTTTATCTCGCCTCATGGCAGGTTCTCCAAGCGCCATCTGCACGCCATGGGCCCCCGAGAACACTCCAGCATGCCCAAGATCCATGGCCTGCTGAGGCGCCTCAACGCTCAAGCACCGCTCCCTTGTCCATACTCCTCAACCTCAGATAAGTTTCAGCTCTTAACCTTCGCCCTCCTTTTCTGATTCTCGTGTTTTTGTTTTGCAGTAGTTAGCTCCTCGTTTTTATGTTTGTTACTTCGTTTTTTTTCTTTTCTTTTCTTTAATGCATGCTGCCTTTTCTTTTTCTTGTAAGAGCCTGGACTAATTCGTGTCTCCCTTGTGCTCCTCTGCCTGCAGGTTTGTTCATGAGCAGCAAGCATGGCAGTCTCACTGGGTGGCTGTGGCGTGTAACCAGTGCACAAGAGGGGGTGAAGCTATGGGAGGCGCCTCAAGGCTCAAGGCCGTGTGCAAAGCTCCACATTTCAAGCTCCTCAATCACAGATAAGTCCCAGCCCTTACCTTCGTCCTCCCATTCTCATGCGCGTGGTTTCTATTTTTCAGTGGTTTCTTTTTTTGTTAAACTGCTTTTGTTTTGTAAGAGCCTCTACTAATATGTGTCTATCGCGCTCCTGCAGGTGCGTTCATGCGCGGCAAGCATGGCTGTGAGAGGTGGCTGTGGTGTGTGGCCGGTGCACGAGAGGGGTTGAAGTCATGAGCATTGGGCTAAGCACTCGATTCCGGGCCAACCGGACTGGTTGTGTCCCCTTCCGCCCCCGTCAAGTGCCAACACTGTCTGGCCAGCAGTTGTTGTCATTTGATGGAGGTGGGGGTGGGCACAGCCAGTCCCTAGTAGGGCACCCGCACGTCTTGGGCAAAGCAATGCTCGTGGCCCACCTTCCTCTCTGCCTGTTTGGTGCACTGCCAGTCCATGCCGGGGTGGGCATGGATGGCATGCTGCCAGTCCATACTCCACTGGCTTGCTTCTCAGAGGACATCAGATGGATCTGTGCTTGATAGAATTTGACACAATCAATTAGTGGTTGAGTGTACCCTTAGAGACCCTGATTGTAATCTAGCAGGAGGTAGAATGTCTTGCAATCTGGGTGCCTGTTTTAGAGGAAATTTTATTGAATTATTGCGCATGTGTATTCTGTAAGTAGATGCCGTTTTCTTTTACTGCTGCTTTTGCAATTCATGTTCACACGTGTATTGCTAGAAAGTCTAGGGAAACATCCTAACAAGAACCTGTCGGAAAGGTACGAAATCGCATCTAACCGTATTAAAATGCACTCTTTAATTTTACTCGCTAACACTTGTTGTTGGACCACGTGGACCTCAACTGGGCAACCTTGAAGTTGGCTCGAACTCGGATGTGAATCTGGCCCGTGTGGGAGAGCAGCCATCAGTTAGAAGTGTGAGAGGGTTCCCTTGAGGCATGACTAGGGAGAAAGAGCAGGAATTCTCATAAGCGACAGCGTAATAGCAGAGGTCGGATCTGCGCTCGCGTTACGTCGATATATTCTAACCCGTAGCGTCGGAAATGTCGGTGCTGCTGTCACATCGCACCGCAGAGCGCAGCGAAGCCATGGCTAGTTCGGGTGGTACGACCAGCCATTGCCTGCTGCTCCGCGGGAGCTGCAGCATCTGCGCGTTTCAGACGAGAGAATTCGCCTGGGCGACCTCGATCGGAGCCGTTCATCCATGCCTCGCATTTTGGAGCTCTGCCAGCCTTGATCCACGCGGCGTTATTGACGAAGGGCTTGCCTATCCTCGGCGCGCGATCTGCGCAGTGGGGATTAATTGTCAGGGTAGTGGTGATAGAGAGAGATAGAGAGAGAGAGAGAGAGAGAGAGAGAGAGAGAGAGAGAGAGAGAGAGAGAGAGAGAGAGAGAGAGAGAGAGAGAGAGAGAGAGAGAGAGAGAGAGAGAGAGAGAGAGAGAGAGAGAGAGAGATTGCCCCAGCGGAGTTGGGGCTCGTCCATCCGGGTCAACATTTGAACACTACCGCGACCCAGCCCTAAGCAACATCGAAGTGCTGGGGCACCTACACTCCGCCGTAACACATATTCTCTCCACGAATCTTTCCACCGAGGTTGCAGCACTACTCTCGCCATCCCGCCTCATCGCCTTCGCGAAACCAGGGGGGGGGGGTACGCCCTATCGCAATAGGGGAATCCCTACTCCGGTTGGCAGCAAAGGTGGCACTCTCGGAACTGCAAGGAGAAACAGGGCGATTTTTCTTACCCCAACAATTCGGTGTGGCAGTCCCAGGCGGAGCTGAGTTCGTTATACATGCAGTCAGAGACCTCACCACTTCACAACCTTCCAGCCTAGTCCTCCAACTCGACATTGAAAACGCTTTCAACTCCGTAGAGAGGAAAGCGTTCTTCAACGCACTCACCAACACCCCGCTAGCACCGCTCATACCTTTCACCCGCTCCTTCTACGCAACGCCTTCTCAGCTGCTGACCGATCCCCGCTTGAGCACGATGGCACTTACCAGCGGAAGGGGGGTGAGGCAGGGGGACCCCCTCGGACCCCTGCTGTTCGCGGCATCAATCCAGCAGCACCTCAGACGCACAGCAGCAGAGCACCCAGAAGTCACGATCCTAGCATACGCAGATGACATCATCATGATCGGACCGGCGACAGCAACGCTCGGCGCGCTTAAGTTGCTGACGCCGCTGCTCGCCCAGGATGGCCTCACCTGCAACCTCAGAAAATCGTCGGCGTGGTCCACGACGCCGCTTGAGGGTGACGAGCTCCCCGAGGGCCTCCCACTCACCCACGAGGGGGTACGGGTGTTGGGAAGTCCCGTGGGGTCACAGCGCTTCTGCTCTGACCTGGTCCGCAGTACTCTGACAGACGCAGCGGCACCCCTGGGCTCCCTAGCATCCATCCATCCACAGCATGCCCTCCTGCTCCTGTCTCGCTGCATCAGCCGCAGAATCGGCTACTTGCTGCCCTCTCGGAATGGCACGCGTGGTGCGCCGAACTGCTCAACACCGCCCTGACTGCCGCCAGCATCCAACCACCCCGCCGCGAAGCCGAGTTCAATTTTCTCATCCGCCAAGCAACCCTCCCAGTGGCCCTAGGTGGACTGGGCCTCACGGATCCCACAACAGAAGCAGCACCAGCCTACCTGGCCTCAACGACAGAGGCACTACGCCTGCTCCGCTCACTCGACCTACCAGCAACCGCGGCGCTAGGGAGCAATAGCAACGCCCTGCAGCCGTCTGCGGCACACTCGGTCACCATCCAAGACATGGAGGGATGACTGCCGCCGCTGGCGCTGCAATACCTCCGTGAGGAGCAAGAAACCCCGTCCCAAGACCAGCTGCAGCGGGCCCTCTCTCAGGAAGTGCACGCGGCAAAGGCCGACACCCTGACAGAGGAATCACGCTCAATCAGGTCAGCCCCCGAGATGGGCCACACGCTCCGCCTCGTCAGCCTGAGAGGCGAGGGAGCGGGAGCATGGCTGCAAGCCCTACCCCTGACCCCAGACCTCTCCTTCTCACCAGGGCAATTCCGAACAGCCCTGGCCTTCCGCATGGGCATCCGACAGAACGTACCTACTGTGTGCGAGTGTGGAGAGCTCGTGGCCGACTGCAGCCTACCCAACCACCTACTCCGCTGCAGCACAGGCCCGGACAGAACGCGCACACACAATCAGCTGGCCTTTGCCGTGGCAAAAATGGCGAGGGAGGCGCAGCTGGTGGTATACGTGGAGAATGCAATGTACTCACCACCGGATGACCCGAAGAAGGCCGATGTGATCGTGCGTGACCCAGACAGTGGAGAGACCTGGATCACAGACACGACTATCACCGACCCCGTGCTACAGAACCGGGACCCCACAGCCCGCAAACCCCCAGGCTGGGCTGCAAGGGAGGCTCAGAAGCGGAAGGAGAGGGATTACTACCGGCACACAGAACACGTGGTGTTCTGCGCCCTGGCCGTCGAGACCTATGGGGCAAACGCGCCCCCCACGACGGCGTTCCTGAAGCTGCTGGCCACAGCAGCAGCTAGGAACCGGTTCAGGGCCAACCCCCTGGCGAAATCGGCCAAGAAGATGGCCTGCCACTTCAGCCAGCGCTGGTCAGTGGCCCTCCAGCGCTCCCAGGCGAATGCCCTGCACACCAAGGCCAGGGCGGGGATTGAGGCAGCGCACCCCCAGATGGCAGCGGACCCATGGCCGCTGCACCTAGGGGACATCCTCCACACGCTGGAGGGTTAGAGGGGCACTAAGGGGGGGGGGGGGGGAGGGTCAGAGGGATGGGTTGATGGGTCGGAAGGTATAAGGGAACCACGAGTCAAATTGCATGTCTGTACCCCCTGCTGAATTAATACAAAGGACCATTTGAGAGAGAGAGAGAGAGAGAGAGAGAGAGAGAGAGAGAGAGAGAGAGTGAGAGAGAGAGAGAGAGAGAGAGAGAGAGAGAGAGAGAGAGAGAGAGAGAGAGAGAGAGAGAGAGAGAGAGAGAGAGAGAGATACAAAGGGGGTGGATCAGGATCGTCGTCACTGCCTCCGCTTTGCAGCATCACGCCATGCTTTCCTTGTGCGTTCGCGGCTCAACTTTAGACGCACTTATCACTCGTTACTCACTTGACGCACTGTAGTGCGACCGTTAATTTTCTTGGCGTCCAACGGTCTTAGTCCGAACGACCTTGGTTCGAAGGGTGGTTGTTTCAGCCGCTTTAGTTCTTCTGCAGCATGTTGCAAACGAATAACGTCAGACACAGCATCAGACAGCAGGAAAGAGCAAGAGAGAGCGGCAGACAGCAACAGGCAGCAGCTGCATGTTCGCCCTCCCGCGTGCCTCGTCGCTATTCCTTCGCGCCGTTCACTCCGCGCCTATTTTCCCCGCGCGCCTCCCCTTCGTTTGCTCCGCTCGCATTTTTCCACGCGCCTCCCCTCCGTCTGCTCCAACGACTCTCGCGATGGGCGACGAGGCGTGTGACGACGCGGGAGCGTCGCTGTTGTCGCACGAGAGCGAGCCAGAGTGGGCGTAGGTGGCGAGCGACCTCGTCGTCACCATCGGCCAGAGCGCCTTCCACGTGCACCAGTACCCGCTGTACGCGTTAATAGCCTTCCACGTGCATCAGTACGCGCTGTACGCATTACTAGCCTTCCACGTGCACCAATACACGCTGTATGCGTTACTAGACTTCCTCTCCGTTCTGTACGCGTTTGCATCCGTCCTTCACGGTTCGGTCGCTTCAAGCTCTTCTTCCTTTCAACCCCGTTCCCCTCCTTTCTGGTCCTTTCTCCCCCGCTCCCCCTCCCTTCCCTTCCGACTGCCTTCCCTTCACGCCTTCCCCACACCTCAGCTTCTCCCTGTCGACGGAGATCGCGAGCGCGGCAGCAGCAGCGGACGAGGCACGGGCCCCATGCAAGCGGAACTCTCCTTCTTCTCTGGCAGCGCGCTCGCCTTCGTCCCCATCGCCTGCTACTGCTACGGCCGCCCCTGCCGCCTCTCGCCCCACTCCGTGCTGCTTGTGCGCTCCGCAGGTACTGTCGCCCCTGGGACGGGAGGGGGGGAGTGGGGGAGTTGGGGAACTGGGGGGCTGGGGAAGTGGGGGAGTGGGGAAGTGGGGGAGTGGGGAAGTGGGGGAGTTGGGGAGTGGGGGAGTGGGGGAGTGGGGGAGTGGGGGAGTGTGTGATGTGCAGGCTCTGAAGACAGGGTCACCGGGTCACAGGGTCACGTTTGAGAATTCTCAAAAGTGCCTCCAACAGGGCTGGATGGATGTTTTTTTAGTCAGCTTACAATTTGTGTGTGCGTGCATGCGTGGGTGTGTGCATGCATGTGCATGTGTGTGCGTGCGTTCGTGGGTGCGTACATGCATGTGCATGTGTGTGTATGTGAGTGTGTGATGTGCGTGCAGGCGCTGAAGTGAAGACAGGATCACAGGGGTGGATGGATTGAGGTCAGCAGCCTCAACACACAGCTGCAGCACGCCCTGTGGCCTGTGAGGTAACGCTCCTGTCTCTCGCCTCACCTGTGTATGCTCTTGCCATCCCTGCAGTGCAACCCCATCTCAACCCATTTCAACCCAATTCAACCCAACTCATGTCATCCTGTGCGCATTTGACACCGTCCCTCTCATGTGGCGTCGGTTCCCGCAAAACACACACTGCATGGAGGCTCATTCGCACCCACCCACCCATTCCCACCTATTCCCACCAACCCATTTGCACCCACTAATTCACACCCATCCCAACGCCCCAGACCAGGAAGCTGAAGCAGCGCGGGTGAAGCGACAGGCAGCAGAGTAGCAGGTGGAGATGGAGCGGGCAGCAGGGTGGCAGGCGTACCCACCCACAACTCCAACCTGCGCCAGAACCTCGCCATCATGCACGCCTCCATGACTGTCAAGAAGAAAACACTCTTCCTCAAAAACTAGTGGCAGCAGCAGGCCTGCTTCCAGGGTGGTGGGTGGGATGGTTTATATGGTTTTGTCACTGGGAGCTGATGGACGGCTTGAGCGGGCTGCATATCATATGTGCTCTCTCTCGCACAATGCGACCTGCGCCAGAACCTCGCCATCCTGCACGCTTCCGTGACTGTCAAGAAGAAAGCCCTCTAACTGAAAAAGCTTGTAGCTGTCCTGCACTCATCCACTATGGTTAGGAAAGAAATGCTTTTTGGGTGGTTGGGGATTGAACATGTGAAGCAACAGGGCACTCCAGGTACCGTATCGCCCCGGATATAACCGCAGGCCTATGTTAAGCGCATGCGCTTCTATCTGGAGCAATGCGCTTATGGCCGATCCTCAATTAGAAGCGCACCCTCTAAAAAAACCTTACTTATTATAAGCGCACCCTTGCTGTATAGACAAAAATGTCTGTTGTTTTTTTCACTTTCTTTACAACCTTCGTACAAATTACATTACTCTAGCTAAAAATTTCAACTAAAACTTTCAAGTCAAATACATTAGACTGGCATCCTAGCCTACACAACATTTTTAAGTTTAGTCTAGCCTAAGGCCTACTCCTCGTCCGACTCAGGCTCCGTGGAGTTGTTGCCAAAGAACCCGTCTGCTTGGATGTCGTCATCAACCTCTACCTCGTGGGATAGCTGACCTCTCCGGTGCGCCAGCACCAGTCCGTCTTCACTCCCGTCAAGGGCATTGCTGATGCCGCAGGTGAGGAACGCTCTCTTAATCAGGTCGGCGGGCACAGCTTTCCACGCCCGTGAAATCCACTTGAGCACCACCTCCGGAGATGGTTTCTTAATGTTCCCTGCACCACATACACGGGGGTGGGAAACACGTGGGTCCACAAGTAGGCAGACATACAGACGAAGCGGTCACGGGAGAACACTTTTGCGTACCTGCGGGTGTCAGGATGTTCATGCCGTCCTGCTCGAACCAGGTCTGGTACTGCTGCCGAACACTCGCCTTGAAGCTTTTGTTGACCGACACATCGAGCGGCTGCAAGTCTGCCGTGCATCCCGCTGGGATGACCGCCGGCACGATGTTGAGTTCCGCGAACTTCGCCTTGACTTCGGGTGTCAGGTGTCCACGATAGGAGTCGAGCACTAGCATGACGCTCCGGCTCTGCAATCCGAACTTCGGTTTCAGGAACGGCACCACGCCTGCACCGAGCCACTCGATTACGCCCGAGGCCTCCATCCACCCGTTAGCTTGGCAACCGACCACGACATCTGCATACAAGCAAGCGGTGGTTAGATTTTACTTTTGTTTTTCCCCTCGGAAACACGCGCATACGCAGTTTCTTACCGTTCGGAAAGTCACCCTTTGGGAGGGTCTTGCGCTTGAAAAACACCCACGGCTTCAACTTCTCGCCCGTCGCTGTGCACGCCAGCATCACAGTGACTCTCTCTTTCTGGTAACCACCACTGCGGATGGGCACCGACTTCACGCCCGTCTGCTCCACCGTGGTAGTCGCCGGCATCTCCAGCCACAAAGGCGTCTGGTCGGCATTGATGATGTAACGATTGTCGATGTCGTAGTCGTGGCGTGCGTCGCGGACAAACTGCCAAAATTCCTTGCACTGCTTGGCCACGTCTGCGCACGGGGAGGGAGGAACGGTTACAAGGGCGGATGAGCACCGCTACAGATAAACAAACATGGGCAAGAAAGTACTGAAATACAAGATAAAATTTCACGATAGGATGACAGTGCACGGACAGGCACTTACGGTGCGGTGTCTTTTGCGCCACCTTTGTTTTCATGCGCACGGTGAGATTCCACCGCTTGCGGAACCGCTCCGTCCAGCGCTGACTCGCCTTCCACTTGACGTCCGGGAACAACACTTTCATCACCTCTTTTGACCAGTCTTGCAGCCGGCCGACTGATACTGCCACACCGCGGCGTCGCCAGTCCAGGAGTTGGGCGTGCACCTTCATCTCCATGGGTCTGTACCAGGAAGACCTTCCGCGCCCATGAAGTCGACACCGAGCACTGTGTGCAGCCTTGAGCTCCTCCGCTTGGTTTTTCCACTCTGTGAGGCATTTGCGGTGTATGCCGGACTCCCGCGCGACCTCGCTTATCGATGCAGCAAGCTCCAGCCGAACGAGCCACTTCAGTTTCTCCTGGGCGGTGTAGCGCTGCCGTTTGTGTTGAGTCGGCTTGTGCCTGGGAGAGGGGGGGCGGGCATCTCGGTTCTCAGAGGAGGGGTGGGGTCGTTTTTTGTTAATCGACGGATACGTTGGTATCGGCATCTTCTCGCGTGGTGCGTCGCGCCACCAAGACTCCACACCGTCGTCGTCCACGTCTGTAGCTTCACGATCTGGGAACACGTCCTCCTCGGCGCCCTCTTCACCGTCGACTCCACCGTTGCCTCCAGCATCGCCGTCGCATGTGGGTTGTTTATCGGCGGCCACGTCATCGTCGGCGCCCACAGCCGACTCGTCCCACGTGCAGGCTTCAGGATTTCCCCACCGAGGTGCAGTCGGCGGACCATTGATTTGCCTAGCCTTGGGTGTGTCCGGTTCAGACAACCACTCGTCGAAAGTGGCAGGCAAATATAACTGGAGCACGGGCCGATGGTGACCCCACGCGTCAGGAACAGGAGGAGTCGGAGGATTCGGAGGAGCGGGAGGAGCAGGAGGAGCAGGAGGTGCAGGAGGAGCAGGCGGAGCAGGCGGTGCAGGGGGTGTAGGTGGCACTGGAGGCGCTGGTGGCTCACGTGTATACCACCCGTCCGAGGTTAGTCGCCAGGCGCGGGTTGGTTTCTTCTTGAAAAGGAGGTGCGTCCCACTGAATTCCGCCATGGCTTTGCCAGCCAGGCGGGCTAGACTAGAAACTGAATGAAAAAAATGAGGAGGAGGGTGCAGAAATGTGCAACGACGGGGACCCCTGCGAGCTAGCGGCTCGGGGTCCTCGTCAATGACAGGCAGGAAACCCCCGCCTACCCCCGTAGAGGAACCTGCGTGGCAGCATATTCGCTGCGCTGGCAGGGAATCTTCCCCACCCTTCGAGAGGGTTCGGAAGAAATGCAGATGCCACGCAGCGCATGCGGCTGTGATTGGGCCGCACGGCAACATCCCCGTCACTCCTGTCACGTTCGATGGTTCTAGACAACTTTGTGCGGTGGGAAACCGAACCGCAGCTGTTTTTGCCTGAAAACCATGCACGATCCCACTTGTTGCATGGTCCGTTGGATTCGCCTTATTGCGGGCTTCAGTTTAGTATGTTTAAAAGTGAATTTCGTTTTTTCCTTATTATAGGCGCATGCGCGTATACAGACACCTCAATTAGAAGCGCACCCCCCCAAAAAACACTGTTTTATTATAAGCGCACCTGCGCTTTTATCCGGGGTAATACGGTATCTGCTAACCAGGAAGTAAGGCTTTCCACACTTTATATAAATTCCATATGCCAAACTGAATATGGTCATCCAGACAGAAGGCGCTAATGAACCACGACCACACGACATGTGCATGCCAGCATTTCAGCTTGCGTGACCAGAACATCAATGTACGGTACCTCAACTGACAGGCAGTGAGCAATCAAGCACCCATAGACAGAACCCCATCGCTACACAACACTAGGCTTCCTGCTCCTTCGAGCGCCGACCTGCTGTCCTTGTTGCAGCATCTTGGCCTTGAGGGGGTTCTGGGTGCGCAGCTCTAGAGGCAGGAAGTCCAGGTCAGTCACCACTGTCGTGTACTCCACCCACTCCCCTCCTCCTCTCACACACGCTCCCGCTTTCGTATCCTGCTTCTCCCATCCTTGCTCACCCCCACACATGCCTCTGCTTTCTGCTGCCCCACGCTCACCAGCCTCTCCTCCTCCCTGCTCTGAACCCCTTCCATCCTTGAGAATCGGTCTGGCAATCTCCTCATGTTCCGCTCCCGCATCATCCCCAACTTGCGCCAACCCACCCTGCTCCCCTCCCCTTAACCCAACCTCCAGTATTCCTCTCACCAGCCTCTCGCACTCTTCCCCATCCCTCCGCTCCACCTGCACCGCCCCATACCGCTCCACAAACCACTCCCAGAACCCTCCCTCCTGCAGCAGCTCCTCAGAGGCAGTAGCGAGCACGAGCCTTTTCCTGGAAGCCATGGCCACACGTGCAGCCGCCAGCAGCAGCTGCGCTGAGATCCCTTCGTGCTGCCGCTGCACGCGCAGCATGCAGGGCGCATGCAGGTCGCAGGGGTCTGCACCACCCGGGTACACCAGCCAGTGTGCACCGAAGCGCAGCCCGCACGTCATGCGGCAGGAGCGGGCGAGCAGGTCCGCGTAGACCACGCAGCGCAGGCGCACTGCAGGGCTGCTGCTGCTGAGCAGAGACGCGAGCATGGACAGCAGGGAGGTGCGCGCATGCGGTGGGGCGAGGGGCAGGGAGGAGGAAGACGGCGGATGATGCTTGCAGCAAGTGCTGGGGGATGTGGTGTTCGTGCCGTTGCTCACTCCTTCTCCGTCATCATCATGCCACTCTCTGCCCATGTCCTCCGCTCCTCTGCTTCGACCTCCGCTTTGGTTCCTATCTTCCCCACCATTGCCCTTCTCCTCTCCACCAGCAACCTTCTCCTCAGTACAATCCACAGCCACACTCCAGCCGCGTTCCCCCATCGCAGCTGGAGCAGCACTGCCATCCCTCTGCCGCTGCACCCCACGCCCTGAAGCGCCCAACCACTCCGCTGCTACCTCCACGTCCCCCTCCGTTACGGGCAGCCGGAACTTTTCGCTGAAGGAAGCCTCCCTGGCAGTGTGGAGGGCGTGTGGCACGGAGCAGGGAGGCTGGTGGGGACAGCTAGACGCGAGCAGGCAGGGGTGTGAGCAGCGAGACGCAGCCATCCGGTCCAGCCTTCCACACTCCACCGTCCCAGGTTCCCCCGTAGTCTCGCTTGCCTGCGGCGCATGAGCTTCTGCAGGCAGGACCAGACTCTGCTGCTGCTGCTGCTGCTGCTGCGGCGGCGGCGGCGCTGGTGCTGGCGGCTCGTGTGTTTGGGCCGCGACATCCGCGTTGAGCTGCGCTGCTGCTGCCGACTCGACCGGCGGCGCGCGCTGGTCAGCGGAAGCGACTAGGCCTGTTGCTGCTGCTGATCCCGTTGGTGGCCGTAAACAGAGAGCGTCGCAACCAGAGCCAGAGGGGTTCAAGCGAGGTAAATCTTGTGAAGAAATAGGGTCAAGGTCTGGATTTGTCACAACGGACGGTCTCGGAGCTGCACGGAAAAGAGTCGGCGACTGAAACAATGCGGTGGATTCTTGGCGGAAAGCAGACAGCGCGGTCGTTGCTGCAACGTCATTCCCGAGGACTTGTAGCCGTGCGACGCCCATGGTCGCTGCTGCAGCGAGCTCTTCCAGCGAGAGCAGCAGCGGCAGGCCCTTGACCTTGTTCTGCAGCGCGAATCCCGGCAGGCCTCCCGCCATGGTGCCGACTATGCCGTGCTCTAGTCGAATCTGCTCTGCCGCCGCCACGTCCCACACGTACCCGCCCGACGGAAACGCGTGAACCGTCACAGGACGTGTAGCGGCGACAGCGGGGAAGGAAGGTGGCTCGAACCCTCGCCACTGTGCTCCTTGAGACCCGCTCTCAACCTCAGTCGCTTTCGTCTCGCCATCGCTCATTTCTCCCGATATTCCCATCTCGTTTACTGCTAGAGATGACCTACGCTGGAGCCCACACTCAGAGTCGACTTGGCCAATCCTCGTGAGTGCCAGATAGATTTAGGAATGATGGGAGAGAAGAAGGCCAGGGAAACAGAGCGACAGTCCAGGCAATGGTGTAGCAGTGGGATTTATCGCACCATACCTGGACTGACTTCGGAAATCCCGCCTCACCACATCCTAACGAAACAGCTACTCGACGAACACAAGACTCTTTGAGCTTGCAAGAGGAATCCCAGTGGGGCGAAGACACATTCGCGATGCTGCCAACCTTTCGCCGACTTCTGTTCCCACATCTCCACTTTTCCCCATTCCCATTCTCATCATTCCTCTCAGAAAGATGCGAACACAAATGGATATCTCCATATAGTAACATTCCTTCGTGTATCCATTTTATGTCCTCTGTACACCTCACAGACGGTGCCTACAATATCGCGCTTCTGAGACAGATTCGGGAGAGGTCCGCTGCCTCGGAACAAGAGCCAAAGGACGAGGTGCGGTTGTAGGTGAGGCCACAGCCCTTCCCGCCAACCGCGCCGAAGCACCCCAACCAACCAATCAACCAACAACCAACCAGATTCATGAGGTGCGTGCCATGTGATGTGACAACTCCAAGGGGTCTACAGTATTGCACTGTAGTAGTGGGCCTTGAACTTGCCGGGCCTTGCCTAGGTTCGGTTGGATGTTGCCTAGGTTCATTTGTGTGACTCCAGCAAAGCCAGGCGTCACCAACCACACCACAACTTCATCTCGTAGGATTGCTTGCTTTCTCACTACTGTAGAAGGCGAAACTATGCGTCAGTCCTGAGCGAGCATTGTTGAGCCACGCTGATTGGCGTAGCATTATCGTGTTATTTATTCCAGGCGATGTATTCTATTACTTATTTGACCAGTCTCGCTTCCCTTTCCAGGATACTACCTCAGACTCTTTCAAATAGAAGTCACACATCCACGATCTCCTAGGCTGCTCATGTCGATTTACGCGTCCCCGTACGACGCGGCAGACGATGGCGGCATGCCGGACGAGCTTCCTCGAACCATCAGCCTCGAGCGGTCCTTCGCCGCCCTTTACGGCTTGCAGAACAGCCAGCAGCAGCAGCAACAGCAACAGCAGCAGCAGAGGAAGTTTCGCGGATGGAGCAAGATGGGTTCATTCTTTGGTTCGTCCAATTCCAATGCATCCTCTGAAGCCTCGCGGCGGGGCTCCGCTGCAGGCTCGTCAGCGGAGGTTCGGAAAGCGAATGCGGCCCCGTCTCTGCTACGAACAGTATCGCTACCCAGTCGCGCCGCTGCGCTGAAAGCACAGCAGCAGCAGCAGCAGCAGCAGCAGCAGCAGCAGCAGCAGCAGCAGCAGCAGCAGCAGCAGCAGCAGCAGCAGCAGCAGCAGCAGCAGCAGCAGCGGCGGCGGCGGCGGCGGCGGCGGCGGCGGCGGCGGCGGCAGCAGCAGCAGCAGCAGCAGCAGCAGCAGCAGCAGCAGCAGCAGCAGCAGCAGCAGCAGCAGCAGCAGCAGCAGCAGCAGCAGCAGCAGCAGCAGCAGCAGCAGCAGCAACAACAGCAGCAGCAGCAGCAGACGCAAAGGGCGGTGCGATCTGCGGAGGAGGAGGAGAGAGAGAGACAGCGACAGATTGAAATGTTTGGCACCGTTCTCGCTGACGACGTGCCGCTCCCCCCGCCGGTACGCACCATTCCTTACCACTCATCCCCACGCCGTTACCCACGCTACTTCTGCGGCGGGCCGTTGTCTGTGAAACGCCGTCACGCCCTATTGAGATTGCGGCGCGTGTGTGGACGATCCAAGCTACCACCGCTCGCGCTGCCTGGGAGCACCGCTGCTTCAACGCCCCTTCTCATTTGCCCAACCTAACCCTCCCACCTTTGCCCTCCCTCTTTCCCGCTCCCGTAACTCCTCCCCACCATCCCCCGCCTACCCTTGCAGGGATTCGAATACGACTCCGATTTCTCCCCCGACCGTCCTAACTTTCCTCCCCCCGCCGTAGCAGCGCCGCCGTCGCCGCCAGAAGCGGCGGAGGGTCAGGAGTACGGAGGGAGACCGGGCGCGGATTACGAGGGCACCATTAGCGAATGGGAGGGCGGCAGTAGCGACTGGGAAGGCGGTCGTTCTGCGGCGAATGGAGCAGCCGCAGGAGGGGGGGCTGGGGATCCGGCGGAGTATCGCCCGCGGGCAGCGCGCGAGTTTAGGCGCACGACGTCGTCGCCCGTGCCTAAGTGCCCGCCTGCTTCCGCGCCTGTGGGCGCGGGGGGCGCAAGAGACCGGCGCCTGGCGGGGGACTGTGTGGGGGCGACCTTCAACGGGCCCTTCAGCGCCGAGGCCGCCGGGGGCGGAGCGAGCATGGGCGGCGGCGGCAGCCGCAGCGGCGGAACTGCGGGTGGCGGCAGGGCGGACGACGAAGTGCGCGCTGGCGGTGGGGGCGCAGGGATCGGGGGGGGCGCTGCGCCTGCGGGTCGCGTCACGAGCGGAACCGCAGGGGCCATGGGGACTCCGTCCCGCGCGTCTGGGCCGTTTGTTGCGCCTCCCGCCGCCAGCAGCAAGCCGCCCGTGAGAGGCGGGTTTGGGCGCAGCACGAGTGTCACGCAGACGCAGGGGAACGCCGCGGAGGCCGGCGCTCCTGCGGGCGTCGCTGGCAGCGGCGGGGGTGGCGCGGGGGGAGGGCGCAGGGGGTTCCGGCGCGCCATGTCGATGGAACTGCGGCCGCGCGCGAGAGCCAACAGGGCGCCGCTCGCCCTTAACCCGCTCGACGCCTCCCCGCCCGCAAGCAGCGCCGCCAGCGCATTCCCCCGCCCCCCCGTCCCATGGGCAGCAGCGGACAACCCTTGCTCCCCCTCCGCCCCCCTCCCTGCCCCCCAAAAGCAGCCGCCCCCGTCCGTCCCCGCGTCGTCCTCCCCCTTTGGCCGTCCTCCCCCCAGCAGCAACCACAGCGCCCGCGGGTGGGCGGCGTGGACGCAGGCAGATGAAGCCTCCCCCAGAGCGGCCTTCGCGCCGCCCTTCTTGCGCTCCTCGTCCGTCGGAGGCCCCTCCCCCTCCGCCCTGCGCAACCGAGAGCTGCCCCCGCCCGCCCCCCCCTACAGCGCGCACCCAAACCCACATGCTGGGATAGGCGCGTGGGCAGGGGCAGGCGGAGGGGCGGGCGGAGGGGGAATGGGCGCGGCGGCGGGCGGCGGGTACGGGTGGGCGTCCCCGGGGTCGCAGCGGTCGTTAAGTCCCGAACGCGCGGACAGCCAGGTGAGCCGCACAGGGCTTGAGGGTGCGGCGGGTGGGCAGGTGGGCGAGGCAAAGTGTAAGAGAGAGGCAGGCGGAGCAAAGCGCGAGAGAGAGGCAGGCGGAGCAAAGCGCGAGAGAGAGGCAGGCGGAGCAAAGCGCGAGAGAGAGGCAGGCGGAGCAAAGCGCGAGAGAGAGGCAGGCGGAGCAAAGCGCGAGAGAGAGGCAGGCGGAGCAAAGCACAAGGGAGGGGTGCGGCAGCGTGGCGAGTTGGCCTCATGGCATGCCCATGCGCTCCTGCCGCCTTTTGAGTCTCTTTCGTCTTCCCGTTTTCAACCCTCCCTGATTCTCCTCCCCTTCCCCACCCGCCCTGTCCCTTGCAGCCGGGGCCGCTGGGTCTGGTGCAGGAGAGCAGCGAGGAGGGCGAAGGGTCGCGCATGAGGGGAGGCACGGGGGAGAGGCGGGGCGGCGGGGGAAGGGGTCTTAGGGAGCGGAGTGGAGAGAGGCACGGGGGAGCGAGGAGGATGGGCGGGCGGGCGAGGGAAGGCAGGGCGAGAGGGCGAGATGAGGAGAGTGAGAGCGAGAGTGCGAGTGAGAGTGGGAGCGAAAGTGGGAGCGAGAGTGGGAGTGGGAGTGAGAGGGGCAGTGGAAGTGGTTCAGGAAGCGAGAGTGAAGACGGGGGGGGACGGAGGGGCCAGCACCAGCGAGCAGGTGCGGACGGCAGGGCGCTTGGGGAGGGGCGGGGGGGAGCGGGGGGGAGGGGGAGGTGGGAGGGGCGGGGGAGGGTTCTGCAGGGCGGGATGGGCAGGGGGGGCGTGGGTAGGGACGGACTGGCACGGGGGGCTGGGGGGTTGATGGGGGCAGCAGGGGGGCCAGGGTGGGAGGGGGCGGGCGAGGAGGCGGGGGAGGAGAGTCCCCGCGAGGTGACTGTGCGGTGTGTGGCGCCGTCCATGCACTCGCTGCTGCGCCTCGCCTCCCACTCGCGCCACCGCAGCCTCGACGCCTCCCCCTCCTCCGCCTCCCCCTCCGGCTCCCCCGTGCCCCTCGCCCGCCCTGTCTCCCGCCCCGCCCCCCCTGCCTCCGCCCGCAGCCCTGCCCGCCTGGGCGCGTGGGGAGCAGGGGGGGGCGCAGGGCGCGTGGGGGGGTCGCCTGGGAGAGAGGGGTGTGGCGGAGGGGGCGAGGAGGAGGGGGGCGTGATGCTGCTGCGGGCGAGCACTCTGCACGAGAGCAGTGCTAGTAGCAGCAGGCGCGGTGGCAGCAGCAGCGCTTGGCATGCAGAGAGGCAGGCAGAGGCAGGAGGGCAGTGCAGTGGGGCGGGCGTGGGGGGTGTGGTGCAGATGGGTGGGAGGGACGCGAGGAGGGGGTTGGTGCGGTCGGCCAGTGGGGTGGAGGCGAGGCACTGCCGCAACCGCAGTGCGGGCGGCGGCATGAGCATCGGCGCCACCGGCAGCGTTGGCGTCGCTGCTGCCTCCGCCCTCGGCCCTTTCGACAACTCCCACCCCCCAAACGCACCACCACATGCAGCAGGGCCGGCACGCGTGGATGCTCACAACCCTCGAAGGGGTCTGGTTCGGTCGGCCAGTGGAGTGGAGGCGAGGCACCGGCGGGAGAGGAGTGGAGGCGGCAGCAGCAGCGGCAGTGGAGGGGGTGCAGGCATGGGGTGGCTGGCAGGGGGGATGGGGGCGGCAGAGCAGGGGGAGCAGACAGAGGAAGGGCGGAGTGAGGCCGGTAGAGCGTTTACGCGGTCGAGCAGCGGCGTGGAGGCGCGGCACAGGAGGCAGCGCAGCAGCGGCGCTGGCAGCACGGGCGGTGCGGGCGGCATTCTCAGCTCGCTGCTGTCGCGCCCGGGTGCAGCGGATGGGGGCACGGCGGCCGACAGGGATGCAGGCGAGGGCAAGGCGAGCGGCAAGGGGGGGGGCTTTGGGTTGGTGCGCATGGCAACGATGGAGAAGCGGCGCGGCAAAGGCCGCAGCAACTCCGTGGTCGATGACAGGCTGGCTGCCAGCCCCTTCCAGGACCTCTCCTGGGATTAGCGCCCATTGCCCGGCCTGGTTCTGAACCGTTATTTTTATGTTGTGGGGTAGAAACAAGCTGTAATGTAGTGATGACTGATGAGTGCGTTCAAAAGAGGGGTGGAGACAGGATTTAGGGAAAGGGATCATGCACAGTGAACTGGATGCAGTAGATTTGATACCTTGTTGATCCCTTCATTCATAGGCGGTGGCTGCCAGTCGTGTTACCGTAACATATTCATGACTGTGTAAGGATTTACAAATCCTTACTGAGGCACTCGTTAGCGAGGCCATCCCGAGGGTCACGCGACGAACCTGACCTTCCTATTTCGTCGCACCGAACCACTCCCGAGTCGGCCTCCGCTCCAATCGCAACCATCACCGAGCCATCCCATCCCGAACCCCCCGCCTAGCTACCGGTAGGTTTTCCCCTATTTAGGCCTCGCTACTTCATTGTTTCTTCATTCAGTGATTCAGTAATTCTCATTCTCGTTATTCGATATTCTGCGCACTCTGCAAGTTGATTCATAACACCTGGTATCATAGCTACTTTCCTAGCTCACCCCGCTTTTTAGAGTGTAATACCCCTCGGGGGGGGGGACGAGGAAGGATGTCTTGGGGTCCAGGAGTTGCGTAGGCCGGCCAGGAGAACGAGTCAGTTGCTCCTCGCGGCCATAGTTTTACGGGTACTCCTTGCCTCGAACGGTCGCGATCGACCGTGGCCTCCCTCCCCCCCGGGCAACGGACAGCTGTAGCTGTCGCGACATTAAACGTGAGTTTCTATTCCGCTGCGGTTTTAAAGCGACGGTGCACATTTGCCACCCAAAACCCAGAACCCTGGCGAACTGTTACTGCGGATGGAAAGTGTCCGCACGAAATCCTGGTTTTCGCCAGCCAGCACTTTCGCGCTGGCAAGCCTGGTTCAAAAAAAAAAAAACTTCTGAACCCAACACTGCCAAAAGTTGCCCGTCGCTTTAAGCTGAGGGTGTTTCTTCGCTTCTTGGAGTGCGGTTGAGCCGTTGGGGGACTTCGCCTGAAGGGTCACTTTTAAGTCGCCTGGCAAGAAACACAGCGCGGGGATACCTAGAACCCACTGGTGTTTAAACGACACCGCGGGAAATTCTTCAGTAAAAGGGAGCGTGGGAGCAGCCGAAGTTTTCGGATTTACCTACCGGCGACGAGCGATGGGTGAAACATCTGCAAAGCGCCAGTGGGAGTTTTGCGTGGTTTTCAGTTAAACTTCATCGGCGGGAGCAGTTTCGACGACGGGGTCAACGGCGTTGATGCCACTAGGTTCCGTGAAATTCGGTCTCGGAAGACCCAGGGCAGTCCCCTGTTCTCGATTGAACCCACACGCTGGGGTCGGGTAACCGAAGGAAACTGATGGTGACCGGATGGGCGGCTATAGAACGACCGAGATTTTCGGAGGAGAACTGCACCTGCATCTGCGGATTTTCGGGGCTGTGTTCAAACGACCTTTTCGAAGTTTACGCGGGAATTCACAGGTTTTACGACGAGAAGCGGCGACAATTTCGGAGGAGAATTCGGCGTTTGGTTAAACGCGCGCGACATTTACGCAGGGCAACACCGCGGGAACTACACGGAGTTTTCAAGGGGTACGAACGACTTACGACGAACTGAAGAAGGCGGCAACAACAGTGACGGGGGGGGAGCGACAGCTGTAAAATTTCATCCCTGCCCTTTAACTCTCGGCGCATTACGACAAATTTCTCGGAGAAACCATTCCAACTCTGCTACCGACAACTCGCCTTCGACCCGCCCACGACAACTGCATTCAATATCAACCACGTCAGGTGCTGCCAACTGCAACTGCTGAAGATATCGCCTGATTTTCCGGCGATGTGAAGACAAAACGAGTCCATTTCGAGCAACGTGGATTTTCCGTCGCGGTTTCTGATCTACTTCCGCTGGTTCGCCCATGAGGAATTTTGGGGCACATACACCTGGTGTCGTCATCGAGTTTCCACACCGACACGTTTTCACCTTGTCCCCTACGCTCAACGCTCGTTTTCAGTGGGACTTAACACCTGGTTCTGTTGGGTTTTACTTCGGCGCAGCTTTGATGATTCTGTGGACAGCTTTCTTGGAAGGGGGGAGAAAGTGCGCTGCACTGTTCTTTCCTTGGCGTTTTTCTTGGTCCTTTCTGAGTTTGTCAGGTTGCGTCAGCACGACGGACGATCGCGATCACACCGACACGATCAACGGTCCCTGCTCAATCGCGTTTGAATTCGCGTCAGCAGGTTCCCTCTCTTTTTGCGTCAGTCTTCGACCGTCAGATCTACACCTGCTCGATCTACGGCCCACATTCCAACTTCTACTTCATTTTGGGCAGTTCATCTTCGACCGTCAGATCGAAATAGGACTTCATCAACGGCTTACATTCCAACCTTTTCAAAATTATTATCAAAGGCATTTCGGCCGTCGGATTCAGCTAAGGAGGAGATCTACGGAATCCTTGCTAGTGTGGGGCCTGTTTCAGTACAGGGCTGCCTTATTTAGAAGGTGGGAGAGTGTAAGGATTTACAAATCCTTACTGAGGCACTCGTTAGCGTGGACATCCCGAGGGTCACGCGACGAACCTGACCTTCCTATTTCGTCGCACCGAACCACTCCCGAGTCGGCCTCCGCTCCAATCGCAACCATCACCGAGCCATCCCATACCGAACCCCCCGCCTAGCTAGGTTTTCCCCTATTTAGGTCTCGCTACTTCATTGTTTCTTCATTCAGTGATTCAGTAATTCTCATTCTCGTTATTCGATATTCTGCGCACTCTGCAAGTTGATTCATAACAGACTGGGTGGGAGAAGTTGGGAGTTCCAGCTCTTCAGTACCGTAATCCCTTGAATAGCAGAGAGACCCTGCCACCACACAACCAAGAAATACGAAATTTGAAAAAGTGTTACACTTTTACAAATTATAATGTTTACAAGAATCACAGCTACGGTACATTATTGAAGCTGAGATTTAAACACTGAAAAGTTACTAGTAAACACTGTCAAACTTATATGATCTAGCCTGTGTAGGCTGTAGCGGGTTAGATACTAAGGGGTACACAATTCTAGGGTTTCATATTTGTATCACTTTCATTCCTTAGTCATCCCATTCTCGTTCTAAGTTTCTCATGGTATCGAGCAGGTTCCCTCGTGGGAACTGTTCCTAGGGCCCACCAAGTTTTTTTTTTTTCCTACCCGGGGCGCGTACCGCCCCTGCCCGAAGCGCGCCTAGTGTCCCGCCCTTAGTGACCCATCGCGCCCTCCTTAGCGGCCCCTCAGGCCCCGTCACTGCCCTCTCTAGGCCCCACGTGGCCCCTTAGCGGCCCCGTCGCCGCCCCTTACGGCCCCGCGACCGCCTCTTACGGCCCCGCGACCGCCCCTTACGGCCCCGTCGACGCCCCTCACGGCCCCGCGACCGCCCCTTGCGGCCCCGTCGCCGCACCTCAGGGCCCCGCGACCGCCCCTTACGGCCCCGTCGTCGCCCCTTAAGGCCCCGTCGCCGCCCCCTTACGGCCCCGTCGCCGCCCCTTACGGCCCCGTCGCCGCCCCTTTCGGCCCCGTCGCCGCCGAGCCGCGACCCTGTAGCCGCCCTTAGCGGCCCCGTCGCCGTTCCCCCCTCCCCTCGGCCTCGTCGCCGCCCTTCAGCGGCCACGTCGCCGCCCCTCCGCGGCCCCGTCGCCGCCCTTCAGCGGCCCCACGGCCGCCCTTCCGCGGCCCCGTCGCCGCCCTTTCGCGGCCTCGTCGCCGCCCTTCAGCGGCCCCGTCGTCGCCCCTCAACGGCCTCGTCGCCGCCCTTCAGCGGCCTCGTTGCCGCCCCTTGCGGCCCCGTCGCCGCCCTTCGCGGCCCTGCCGCCCTTCCTCGGCCCCTCAGCCGCCCTTCCCGGCCCCGTCGAGCAGCCGAGCCGCCGTCATCACCGAGCCGCCGAGCCGCCCTTGCCGCCGTGCCGCCGAGCTGCCGAGCCACCGAGCCGCCGAGCCGCCGAGACGCCGAGCCGCCGAGCTGCCGAGCCGCCGAGCCACCGAGCCGCCCTGCAGCCGAGCCGCCGAGCCGCCGAGCCGCCGAGCCGCCACGCCGCCGCAGCCGAGACGCCGCAGTTCCTGCAGTCGCGGCCCTGTCCCTGCTGGCCTGCCTCGGCCCGCCCCACCTGCCTGGTAAGAGCAGCGCCTCTGCCACTGCATTGCCCTACCCCGCTGCTCTCTCTGCCAGTCTACTGCTGTCATGGCCACCCCCAGTGTTCTCACCTTTGACGCTGAGGGCCGGGCTGTTGACTTTGAGGTCTGGGTAGATGATCTGCAGCTTTTCCTACAGTGCGATAGGGCAGACGGTCTCTCTCTGTTTGACCTCACCTCTGGTGCCTCTCCTGCCCCTGCTGCTGATGCTGATGCCACTGTTCGCTCACAGTGGGCCACGCGCGATGCTGCTGCTCGCCTTGCTGTGCGCCGCCACTTACCGACCGCTGAGCGCGCGCATTTTAGTCAGTACAAGAGTGCTAAGACCTTGTACGACGCTGTCGTTGCACGCTACTCTTCCCCTGCCACTGCTGCCCTTAGCCGCCTCATACTGCCGTACCTCTTCCCTGACCTCGCCGCTTTTCCCACAGTCGCTGACCTCATTACGTACCTTCGCACTAGTGACATTCGCTACCGCGCTGCGCTTCCTGCTGAGTTCTGCGCCAAGAACCCCCCCCCCTATGTACATCACCCTCTACTACATAGTCACCCGGCTCCCTGACACCCTTCGCTCGGTCAGGGACCACTTCCTCTCTGTTTGCCCCACCACCCTCACCGTTGACCTCCTCGAGGAGCGCCTCCTAGCAGCAGAAAAGAGTATAGTCGCTGTAGGAGCCTCTCGTGGTGACCCTCGTACCCCTGTCTTTGAGGGGTGCTCCCCCTCCCCCCTCTTGCCCTCTGTTGCCTCTGCTGCTGCGGCCGACCTCGTTGGTCTTGAGTCGGTCGGCGCGGCGTCTGCCCCTAGCGGGAGACGCCGCCCAGGCAAGGGCAAGGGGG